CCCAAGATCTAGTTTCTTGCACTGGGTGAGGGGCAGCAGTGGTGAAAACACAGAAGCAGGTTTCCAGAACGCGATCAAAGCCTGGGCCTCAGAAAGTAAGTTCAGCTCCACAAGCAGAAACACAGACTGGGGGAGAGCCTGGCTTCAGACTTTAACAAAGGCTCCTTTAAAAACTGTCTTGGTTTTCAAAATGCTACCTTTTGCAAGTCACATTGGCATCGGGGTGCCAGACAAAAAAGCTCTTTGATACAATTATGCTGTCTCTAGCAGGCAGGACGATGATTGGGAAGATGTGGGCGGGAGCCACACTTGGTCATAATCCTCAGCAACTGCACTAGGATCATTGTTCAGAGAAAGGGTATGAACACTCTGCCATTAACCCACAGCCTCCAACAGAACCTCGTTAATAAGTCATGTCTCTTCTGCTCTATTAATGATCAGCAAGCGGCTGGAACTCTGGCAAGGAGCCCTAGACATCCTGACAAGTACCAAAGGATTGTTGATACCGTCCACTAAAAATAGAGCCTGGAATGAGTCATGCTCAATTTCTGATGTTTTCCTGGCATGATACGGTGCATAGGAGGGTTAATTTTTTTTTTTATGTACAAAAAGAGCTTTACTGCACAGACTCTGGTCTGTAGGAGTTGAGCACACTCCTACCTCCATCTCCAAGGCCCAGTGGACACCTGGCATGTCTGGCTTCCCACGCATATCTGTGAGTCTGACCTTCACCCTCTAGTCTAAGTTATCCATAAACCAAAAGATGCTTTGGGACATGTCAGATATCATAGCTTTCCTTTGTACTATTCCCATCCTCCTCCTTCACAAGACAGACACAAGCAAAAAGTGAAAGAGTCGATGAATTCTGTATAAACTAACCCCAGGACACTCAGTGGTATAAATAACAAACTGAAGACCCAAATGTACCTCCCCAGGGTATGTCAGTGGGTACAATTAATTTTTAAAAGTCTGCTTCCTTGACAGGATGACTTTTTAGGTAAGATCTACAATGTAGCACAACTGTGCTGCTCATTTGGATTAGATTTTTTTTTCTATTTAATTCAAAGGTCAATGTTTTCTAGTCAACGGGTTGCTATGGGTTTGTGTATCTTAATCAGTACCGAGCACACCTCAGACCAATAGAGGATGACTGCACGTATTCCCAAGGCAATGGTCCCAATGGAAAGCGTACCCTTAGATCTGGGTACTAGAGCTACTGTTCCTCTAGGTTTTACCTTGGCCTAGCATTTTGTGATAAATATCTGAGGCAAGTCAACTTGCCCACAGAAAGCATTTTCTGGGCTCACAGTTTGGGAGGCTTAAGTATATAGTTCTATGGATTCATTGCTTTGGGGCAGATGGCAAGGGAACACATCACATGTAAAGTTAGCAGAAAAACGGGGGGCATGCACTTCACGGTCAGGATGAAACAAGAGCAGGAAGGGTCAGATGTTCCAATCTCCTTGCTTTTGGTGTACCCCAAGTGACCTAAGTCACCCACTTATTAAAGGCTTCTCTACTTCCTAGTATCTCCAAGCTGGGAACTAAGCCATTAACATGAGCTAGAGTTAGTTACCTACAAGCTTCTTTTCTTCGTGGGCACCCCATTACTAGATAGCCAGTCGCTGACCCATTACACTTGGACAACTCATTCTTCATCCTATTGGTACCTTGGGCCTCTTCCTACTCACAGAAGTAAAACAATGAAGCCTGAAATCCTACCCATCAGGTGTAGGGATCCTGGGTCGCAAACCTGCTCGGAATCCATGGACCACAGGATGGTATCAGACTGTGAAATCTATGAGGCAGGAGCTGGGTAGCCCATGTAAGAGGATGAGCTAATTCCCTGAGCTGGGAGTTGGTACCTTTTCCACATCTTCAACCTCAGATGAAGACGTGGAAAGAACGCTTCAAGCTGAAATAAGGCAGACACTGTAGGTTGGTGGTACCAAAATTCAGCATCAGAACCCCTAACAAAATTTTGGGAAGAAATCTCAACCTGTAGATCCCAATTCAATATGTATGCTAGCTACACATACACACACACACACACACACACACACACACACACACACACACGCACGCACGCACTCATGCATACAGGTCTTTTTTGATGAGCCCCAGTACTGTAAGAATACTTAAGTCATGTTAATGACAACACCAGCTCTTTACCTCACTGATACACAAAAGGCTGGACAAGCCAGGGAGCTGTGAAAAGCCATTATGAGGACCTTTGTGTGGTAACCAGCAACCTCAGAGCAGAAACCCCGCCAGCCTTCTTTGCATTCAAACCTCCTCTTTCTCTTCCCTTCCCACCTCTCTCCTCTCTATATTAGAGTCTCAGGACTGTCATCATCCTTTACCTAAACCCTCAGTGTTATGAAGACCTGTGGTCTCCTTTGATGTACATGCCAAGTAACTGGTCCTTAGGAGTGAGTCTGTCCCTTCATGTGACAGGGCTGCAGGTACGCTTACCCCATCAGCCCTCATTAGGTCTCATGAGTACGTTGGTGTTATTTTGTTCTTGTGTCTGATGCTGGGCTTGTATCTGGCCCAATGCCAGAGCCAGAACTTTGTTCACACAGTGAGCAAAGCATCACCCTCTGGCTGTCCTACTTCCCAAAAGACAGGGCGTGAACCGCTGTGCAAAGAAAAATGGAAAAGTTATATTCTCCAGGGTGCCTCTGAGAGGGGGAAATGGAGCTTTCTTGTCAAGAGGGAGTTGCTGTTTATGTTTCTGAAGGAGTGTATTGTAGGTTACACAACAGCTTCTTAGGTGGAGAGAGAGAGGGAAAGAGAGAGAAAGAGAGAGAGAGAGAGAGAGAGAGAGAGAATCTGAAGCAGTAGAGATCAACAAGAGTTGCACGGATGTGGAAGCCACGTCACATTTGCACGAGCAGGAGCAAGGTGGGTGGCGTCTAGTACACTGCCTCCATGGCTTCACTCAGAGCCTGAATTCTTTTCTCGGTGAAGCTGAGATAAGAGGGTGAGCTATAACACCAGGCAAGACCTGCTGCAAACTCATCAAAGTGATGGGCAAATGCCAGAAAAGACTTGGCAGAACCAGAACTGCCTGGCATTAAAAGGAGGACTTACGACCCAGATCCTAGCCTGCTGGATCCAGCTTGCTTTAGCAGAACTGAGTTTGCCTTATCTAGCATTCTGTACCTGGGAATTGCCTTTTGTCATAAGCTTTCAAGCTTTTTTTTTTTTTTTTTTAATACCGGGCAAAACTAGTTCATGTTTTTGATAGACTTATTTTGAAAATGCAGAACTTAGCTCAGCTAGTATGATGATAAAGCTCTAAAAGTGGCCTGGCAAACTATAGCTACACCCACAGTCCTGTTTAGAGACAGACCTAAACAAGTTTACTAGCGAGATAAGGGCGATTATACCAGACAATGACAGTGTAGCAGGTTGGCTCCAGAGAAGGGTCCTGGGACCAATTGTCCTTCACAGTGAGCTTTATTCAGTGAGAGAGCATCCTATGACCACGGGAGATGCATCTTAAAGTGTCAGGCCCATGATCTTGCAGTGGCCAAGGGACGAGCCTCCGCTGACATAAGCAGAAAACACCCACCCCAAGGATTTTACTGACCGTGCTGAAGAAATGCTGATATGTTACCTAAGTATAAGACGTTAGTAAAACACCTGCTCAAGGACAGGAATGAGGCAGCGGTGGCTTAGAAACACTGTGGGGACTTAGTTGTACAGTAGAACCCAAGCGAGTGGGTGTGACTCGGAGGAGACTGGCAGGCCTAAGCCTGCTAGAGAGGAAACAAAGGAAGGGAGCGAGCACGCGTGACCCAGAGTACACTTACGGAAGTCACAGGATAGTGTGATGAACAGTTAATAAAGCCATAGATAACCCAGGGTCATGGCTTTCTTATCCTTCCAAGGCAAATGTCTCTCTGTCCACCCCACACCCCACCATTGCCTTTTCCTAAAGGGGCCGATCCCCTATGCCATACACAGACACACCGCCCTTTAGGTCTTAGGGACAGCTAACCTTTTACCTAGTACACCCTAGTACAGTCATGTGCTCTGGCTTCCTCTCTGACCTCTTCAGGCTTCTGCTTAGTGGCTACCTTCACACTGAAGTCCACCTGAGCTCCCTTCCACCACCAAGGCACCCCACTACTTCACACCTCCTTGACCCCCTTTTTCTACTCTTTTCATTTTTATCTTTTACCTCTATTAATAGCACCCTTATCAACACTAGGCAATTTATTAATTTGCACACAGTTCATTCGCAGCTGCTTGCTCATACATTGCATGCTGCATTGTTTGACAGCTATCTCTAGGTTTCAACAGCAAATGCCCTTTATGAGGCCAAAGATATTTGTTCTAGGAACTTATCTTCAGGGCCTGGAAGAGTAGGGACAAGACAAGCAATGACTTTGCCAAAGGAGAGAATGAACAAGGCTGGGCAGTCCCGAGATGACAAGGAAAATGGGACCTGAGCAAGACTGCCAGCCGGGTACTTCAGGAAGACCCTGGGACAGCAGCGACAGAGGTGGAAAAGGCAATGATGGGGCGCAGGGTGGACATAGAGAACGTACGGAAATAACTGTAGAACCCACATCAGAGAACAAAGCCATGTTTTCACACAGTGTTTAAAAGTCTAGAGCTGGAAGTGAGAGCATTGTGTGTTTACCATAAAAGACAATGTTTGGCTAATGCTGATGGGCCGCATAGCATTGCAACTTAAGAGGGCAGGATGTAACCTGCAGTGAATCCACAGTCGTGCAATGACACACTGTTCTGAAAAGGGAGACACGGTGTTCTGTTCACCCTACTTTAAGAGGGCTATTCTTTCTGTCAAGTCCAAACCGGTAAGTCAGACGAGTCAAAGGTGACGGGTGTCCGATGAAGATAAGATAGAAAGGGAAGTGGAAAACTGAGTTAAAGCAAAGGCACAGGAAGGGACAATAGGATGAAGATAGCCTCTTGCTGTGGAGAGCTGTGGCTGTGGGGGAGGAAAGGGCAAAGGGAGGAGGCTGTAAGGAAGTGAAGACAGCCTCAGCCCTACAAGCTCAGTCCTAAAAAGACCTGCCGGAAGGGCACTGGCTGGAGGAGGGAACAGCTGGAACCTGAGACAAGCCAGAAAGCAAGAAGTCAGACAGCAGAGGGGAAGAACACCCGGTGAGCAGTCAAGGGAGGGATTAAATCCATCTCTAGAACACGTTCCAGGACAAGGAAAACAGGCAAGCCTCCCAGGGAGCTCAAAGAGGACAGTGAGAAACAGCAGAAAATGGAAGTCAGTGATCTTGAATCTTTGGGGCTAGCAACAGTGAAGCGTTTGAATATGCGTGGAATTCCTTTGATGATGGGCCATTAACTCATTCTGTTGTGCTTTGCCCTGCCATACATAACGAGACTGTCTCATGGTGATAAAATGTGGGAAAATGGGACCACCAGCAGGAAGAGGCCTCTATGAGAGCCACGAATGCTCACCCAAAGATTAAGTTGTGTGTACATGCGCATGTGTGTGTGTGTGTGTGTGTGTGTGTGTGTGTGTATGAGAGAGAGAGGGTGGGGGAGATAGAGACAGACAGAGATAGCACTGAGAATTTTGAAGATGACTGTGTAGAAGCCAGTTATTGGAAGACTCAGAAGGTTCTTCCTGCCCAGGGTATGAGACTTAGTCAATGGACTAGACTAGCCTACTTGTCTTGAAGAAAATGTCCTTTGATGTTGACAGCAGCATAGGTAACACAAGGGGCGCCAAAAGTAGTCAAAAGTGGCCTGCTTAAGTCTTGGGTCTTGGCAGGAGACTTAACTATAACCAAGACTAGCTAATAATTCAGTTGGGTATTCTAGAAACCATTCTGGAGCCCTCTTTTTCATTATATATATATTATATACGCACATATATGCACACACATATACACAAATATATACCTATGTATATACACACATGCACATACATATATATGCATATGAGTCAACTCAAAGGCCAATGCAAACATGTATAGTTTTGTGACAGGAGAGAAAGAAGCAGCGATTATAGCATTAAGATGAACGTATGAAAGAGGCTAGTTTTCAGGGACAGGCTAAAGGCCCTTCCTTACCCAGGCTTCATCTGATGAACTGAGCATTCATGGTGGGGTAGAGGGGAACCCCTGCTATACAATAGGCCAAGAGATAGGTCCGATAAAAAGTATCTTATAAAGGATCATCCACTTGTGGCAAAGGTTTCTCTTCGTTTACTAGTACATTCTTATTCATGGGAATGCTTTCTTTGCAAGACTCTGGACATCGCCACCCTTCCTCTGCAGCCCACCTCTCCTTTCCCATTAAGCTTTAAAGAGTGTAACTTCTCTATCTCCTCCTTTCCATCTCCTTCCCTCTGGTTACTGCTTGAAAGCATGAGCACCGCGGGCCTTCTCACCCTTTCTTGGAAATTTCCCCCACTTCTGTGTAACCGACTTCCATAGCTGAGCCGATCGGCTTTCTGGGACTCTAACTTCCCTCTTCTCCGCATCCCCCTCCCAGCAGCTTCTGGGATTTATATCGGATTTATATCATGTTCGCTCTGCTGTTTCTCTCTCAAACCCTAATCAAATTTCCTGGGAACTTCCTGCAGAGTCTGTTTACCCTTTCATTTATTTCTTTTGAGACAGGATCTCATTGTGCAGCCCTGGCGGTCCTAGAACCCGCCATGTCAACCAAGTTGGCTTACTCATGAAGGCCTATCCATGTTTGATTTCAGCAGAGTGCTGGATGAAATTCTTCTGCTAATAAGACAAACACCCAAAGGAGAAACCAAATGCCGTTGTAACAGTACGTCCTCACATTTCTAGATTCAGAATTTGCCTACGTCTTACCGTTTATTTGTAACCACTCCAGATCAATACTCTGTGGCATATAGCTGTACTTAAGGGCCAAAAACCAGACCACAGGAGACGCTGAGTCCTGCGATACACAGGTGTTCCCAGCGAGGGTATGAGGTGACATATTTTGCTCTCTCAAATCAGATCTCAGTAATGAGGGTCCGCTGGGCAGTCTGCTCAGCCATAGGCTTTGCATTGTTACTTTTCAGAGGTGGTTTCAGTATACATAACCTTAAATTATACTGCTGCATGGCTGCCTTACAGAGAACAATGTCGGAGAAGCTTGCATCAGCATATATTAAAAAGCTCCTGGCCCCGAGTTCCCTGTTAGTAATCCAGGAATATATTAAGATATTTTACATAGCAAGTGCCTATAGAATGGCGATATATTACTAACGGGCAAAACTGTGACCCCAGGGTCATGGGAGCTAATCCCATATTTCGCAAGGAATGATGGTTCAGGACTGGATAATTCAACATTTGTGTTGACAATATGGAACATAACTACTTCCCAAACCAAGGACTGAGTATTGGCTCATTGAAGAGTCCTAGTTCTGTGTACTAATTCTAAACCACTTCATATGCATAGAGACCTAGAGGAGTTTTAGTACTGGAAAGACCAAACACTGTGCTCAAAGTCAAAGTACCAGCCCGAGATGGGAGCCTCACGCACTGTCTCTAAATCTCCAGCTCTTCATGTTTATTCCGCGGCCCTGTGAAGGTAGACGAGGAAACCAACGCCAGCGAACCCCAGGAGATACCTGGGAACTCTACCATCGGAATCTCAAGTGAAAACTACAATTTCCAGAATCACAGGTAGAGGATTAACGGGAAAGCAGCATTTGTTATTGCTGTTGAGGGTTTAGTTTACATTCCGGGATGAGGTGGCCCCGGGGCAACTTGAGGCTCCCTCCGTGAGGCTGTAATCATGCCTTGATGAGAAGAAAATGCTACACAAACACCGGGCCCATTAGAAAAACACTAGTCTGGGACCAGGAAATCCAAGTCCGGTTCCAAATTCTGCCAGGAACTTGTTATGGGTCCCTCCACAGAGTTCCCTTCCAGCCTCCACCTTTGTGGTCTGGGCTTGGGGAATGCAGGCGCTGGTAAATGAGTTCCCGGACTCCAAGTTTGTAACATGAAATCTCCGTGGCTCTCTGGCTCCTGACTGGGTGACTTCGGACCCACGATGCTGTGGAACAGGCTTGATTTACACTGGCTTTTTCGGCGTAAGTTTCTTAAGTATCCTTTTTCACTCTCCAAAATGCGCCAGTTTGGACAATAATTGTAGTTATTCTGCGCTTAACTAATGTCTGTTCCTTGTATGTAGGTTGGATCAGACGCAAACTCGTCCTAACAGTGGGAGACCAGTGAGGCACTTGAGGACACTGTTTTTCCCTCTCAAGCTGCTTGGGATCTTAGTTGGAGTCAAGGGAGTCAAGTTTCTGGTCCATCTAACATGGCGCTTACCTTGAGCCTTGAATATGAAATGTCTTGAGGTTGAGGATGAAAAACAATTCTGCCTTGGTTTTTTGGCTCTCAAGAAAAGATATTGTATCAACTAGACCGAGAAGAGGAACGTTTATCTAATATAGAGAAAATGTCATTTAATTTAGTGCTGGCGATTCAAGAACATGAGTTGTCATAGTAAAGTCATCCCTAGTCCCATTAATTGGCTTTGCTGCATTGAATTACCTACACTCATAATATAATTACACCCGTGCTGATTGAATATAACAAAAGTTGACTGAAAAATACAGAACTAAAAATGCCAGATTGAAAGGTGAGATGATAATAAGAGATAATGATGGGTCAGTCAGCGGGAGTCCTCCCATGTAGATTTTTCCGTGTTCTTGCTGTGATGAAAGGAAAGCGCATCGCATATGTATGTGCGTGGAAGAAAACACACCAAGTCCCCGCTGCTGAGTAAAAGCCTATACTCTCCATCACCTCTTCAAGACCGACAGGATAAAGCACAGCAGGGCCATCGTCCCACCCTGGCCTCTTTCCTTGTTTAAAACGTGCTCTTGTTCTGCTTCGCTCTTCATTTGCTGAGCAGGACATTTGGGGCCAGATTGTGAAAGACAAATTTTGCTTGAGGCCAAATTAAATAATTCTAAACTTTCGGAATAACAGTGGAAAATCAAAACATCTATGATTCTAGTTCTTGCATCTGTGTTTTGGTTCAAATTCTCCTTCCCTGTGCTTCTGAGTAACCTCCAGCGTTCAACCTGGAAAATGTCGTATGGTTATGATAATGATTGCGCAAACACAAACTAGCATCCTTACTCAACTACTGTTCTTCCTGTCTTCCATTGTGCTTGCAAGAGTGACATAAACAACCTCCAACAGTAATTTCTGCTTACTGGAAAGAGCCGGTGCTCAGGAAAAGGAATCGGGGAAGATCTCAGCCACCTTGAAAGTTCAGTTGGCAGATTCATTTCTTAGAATCTTATTTGAATGACATTGGGATAGGTTATTGGCTAAAATATCATATTCCTTGAAACTTGCCAAACAGAACCTCAAGCAGAGTTCTGTCTCCTTGATGCGCTAGAGAACAAAGATGTCAAAGTATTCTGTCCCTCCACAGTGCCTGGTGTGTGGCTAGGAAATGACCCCAGGAGACCCACAGGCCTGGCAAGGGCTTGGCTGGTCTACGTCCTAAAGAGAAAGAAACCAAGAGCAACATCTATCTGGTTCAGCTCAGCGTTTAAAACAGCATTGTTGGTCAGAATTGATCTTAGGAGCAAATAGGAAAAGACATTTTGCTTCAGAACAAACACACAGACAGACACACGCACACGCACACACCCTGCTGTTACTTTCCTCAACGTTTACAGATGTCTTCATTTGAAATGCAAATGTGGCTAAGAAAGACTTACTTTGTTTCAAGACACATATTAAGTAAAACTATTTTTAATAATGTTGGACATTTATGCTCAATCTGTTTTCTGTTAGCAATTCTTCAGTGGAAGCCAGAAGACAACCTCAGATGTCCCTTAGAAGACATCCACCTTGGCTTTTGAGACAAGGACTTTCATTGGCCTGGAGCTTGCCAGTCTGGTTAGCACAGCCAGCTAGCCAGCAAGTCCTAGGGACCCTCCTGTCTACGCTGTCTATTTCTCCAGTTTGGGAATCATAAGTGTGCCACCAAACCTGGTTTTTTGTTTGTTTGTTTGTTTGTTGTTATTGTTCGTTTTGAATCTTGGTTCTATGGATCTGAATCAGAGCCCCCTACTTTCACACAAGCACTTTACAGACTGAGCTACCTCCCCGGCCCTCATTGTGGGGGGGGATCTTCCATACACACAGGTGTGTCCAGCCCTCTTCAGGTGAGCAAGCATGGTGCGCGTGAGGCACTGTAAGTGTTCTGTCACCGATGGGAGTAGGTATGAATGCCAGGAATCTTCAAGACATTTTGCCTTTGTAAACGTTTCAATGGTTAGAAGCAAAACTAAGCCACTTCAGTAATTGTGTTAAACAGAAATCAAAAAAGAATGAGATTTTATGGGCTGTGACCTTCACCTGAATGTGGGGGTGTTGGTACCCGCATATCAGAATTGAAAACGTCCTGCAGGGAAACCGCTGGAGCAAGACCTCCCGAGCGTTTCAGCGGCTCCCAAATATATTCAAAGTCACGGAAACGAGAACAGTGTCCCTTTGAGCCATAAACTGACATAGAGAGCCAACTCTATACTTGTTGTAAACCATTGCTCTTACAGGAACAGGGAGGAAGCCACTGAGTACATTTGGTGAACTGGAAGAATGCCTTTCCCGAGGAGAAAGAAATTGCCAATAGTCAGGGGCCCAGGAGGAAAGAGATGCAAATGACCTGGACTCTTTCCTCTCACTGTGGTCTGGCCTTCACAGGGGAAATTACAAGCCAGGGAAATACTAGTCTGAAGCTTCCCAAGATATGAGTAAACAGGTCTCCTTTAAAAAGGGGCGCACACCATTCCTGGCACTGGGCAGGTAACGCGCTAATACCTTTAGCGGCTTCCCCCATAGGAAGAAGCAACAGCGGGCGACATTATCCCAGGAACTGACTGATCCATCGAAAAGATTAAGACCTAGGACTTGCCGGTAATTAAAAAGAACACAGAATAAGTCAGAGTGGCTGAGGAGAACCAAGGCCGACTCTTCTTGCCATCTGTTATGACTGATAATTGTTGAAATACGGTAAAGAGATCACATTTATAACTAAACAAATCCCTCCAAGCTTTATTCTGTATCAAACTGCATCTTATTTGTGTGAAACAATTCAATATAAATGTAAAATTGTTGTCAACAACTTCATTTTATTTTCACGAACAGAACTGTATCTTTCCTTGGCTCTTCCAATTTACACTAATAACTTACAGGGCATACTTGTGTTTACATGGTGAAACTCATTATTATTTTGGAATTAGTGGCTTTAAATTGCCATCATTCATAAACTAGCCTCGACTGTATTTATTCACAGAGACAACTGTTAAGCCCCAGGGCTAGCAAACACCCACTCAGAGCTTCTGGGAAGAATGCAAATTTAATATAAGAGTGATGTGAACTCAGGTGCTCGTGGCAAGAGTATCTACTCTGTCAGCCATAAATTCTGTGGGTTTATTTTTCCCATCATACAAACTATAACTTTAATAAGATGGAGTGCAATAGGAATTAGGCAGGGTCCATAAAAAGTGCTAAGAGGGTCATGCAGAACTTCAGAAATATCAGATAATACTCATTTCTGCTAACCCAGGATGCTAGCCCACGATGCTAATCCACGATGCTAATCACCCAGATACTACAAGGTCATTCATGCTTAAAACCTACTGGTCTTTAAATCTCATTGGTATCTAAACATAAAGTCCTAATACAGCTTGAAAATGTTTTGCAGAAATATTAGGCTAACTAAATTTCTGAAGTAGAAAATTTTACTCTCACATAAAAGTGTTCAAATATTCAGGGTTTGCCCATACCAGAGCGTCCTTAGAATGTGGGGTTTTCAGTCCTAAACTGGGTAAGTCCCCAGACAAACTGGGCTGTGTTAGTAATCCCCACTCCACCTCGCAGGTATCTAGACCGAAACATCAGTTGGGATTCCCAGGGTGGAGTTCCTGGGCCAACAGCAGCAGCAATACCTCAAAACCTGTTAGAAATGGAACCCAACCCAAACCTACTGAGTCACACACTCTAGGGATTGAGCCAAGAAGAGTATCCTAATGAATTCTCCAAATGACTTTGAGACATGGGCCATTCTGAGGTACAATGGCCAACAACACAAGACTTATTTTTACGTACTGCAAAGGATGGGGGAAAGAAATCAATGTATAACAAAATAGCCTTAATTTCTTTAAGACACACAAGCCAGTATTTTCGTAGCCAGATTGTCCCTGTCCTCAAAGTCCCCCATGTATCACTGTATCACTGAGTTCTGAGTGTGAGGAACAAGGAATAAGAAAAAAAAATGATACAGCTGACTGGATAGTTCAGCTTAAGAAGGAAGTTGCCTCATCTCTAAGTTTTGAGATAATCACGCAAACTAAGATGCTGATGAAAGCTTAAGAGCTCCTCTGCTTTTGCAAGATGTTAGTCAGTCAGTGTACAGCCTAGAACTGAATATGGACAGGAAGTGAGTGTATAGGCAGGCTTGTAATACCCCTAACAGGAAGCTTCTAGAACCTGATAAGTTAGTGCCCTTTTAGTCCACCCAACAATCTCAAAATCTCTTCCTCACAGAGACTCTGGTAACCAAAGAAAACAAACCGGATATTTTGCATGATCTATGATCACTATGTAAGATTTTTTGTATTTAAATTTTCAAGACACTGGATAATGCAAGCATTGATTTCTTTTCCACAGTACTGAAATCTCTTTCCTACATACCTCTCAGCACCCAAAGAGTCAAGAGAAGATTCATGTGTGAGGCGCTCGCTGCTGATGGAGGCATGGAGACATTGTGCTCAGTTCTGCACATCAGAACCTTCCCTCCTGCCCCTCAGAAGAGGAGCAGATGAAAGGGTGGTACCCGTGTGAGGGTGTGAGGCAAGAGTGCTTCTCCCTTTCAGTCCTGCTTAGGAACTATCTAAGACAGCTTGGGGATTAGAACATCGCTCTTCAGAAACACCACACCGTCCAGGCCTACAAATTCTTGTAGAACTGCACCAGGGAGAAACCTTCCAGTCTGTCTTCCGCTTTCTAAATACGGCAGTGTAGCTTGGCACTTCAAACTGAGGATTTTCAATCCCCGAAGTGATTTCCAGTGTTGCATCTGCCAATCACAGGACCATAAGCAAGTTTCTTAATTTCTCTAGAACTCATTTTTCTCAGTCACAGAAGAAAAGAGAAGTCACCAGCACAGTGTCTGACAGTGAATACTATTAATTGGTTGGTTAGCTGTGGTCCTTGACATAACAAGACGAACTAGTCAGGGGCCGGTTTAAGCTCTGAGAAATTAAATTGTGGCTACTGTGTCCTACCACACGGTAGACAAGGAGAACGGAGGGGAAGAGTTCAGGGCAAGGAAAGCTGCACTGTGTTTGCTAAATAAACCTGTAAAAGGCAGAATTGTGCTCCCCAAATTCACACTGTTGGAGTTCTAACCCCAACCACATGGCTGTGTTTGGAAAGAGGGTCCTTAAAAATGGTTTCGTGGAAATCGAGTCATAGGATGGAACCCCTAATCCAA